CTCCAGGCGCAGGCAGAAGCCGGGTTCCCCCCAGGTTGGGGGGGGATCCACTGCCCTCCTGTGGCAGACTGCAGAACAGGTTTACTGTCTTTGGCTTCTATCCGTGTACAAGAAATGGCTGGATTTACTGCAATAATAATAATAATAACGGCGTTTTTTAAACAAGCCTGTAATTTCTATCATCGGTTCATACAGGTAGGAAAGTAATCGAGAACCTCTGGGTTGCTGGTGACCTGCAGGATGGCAAAAAGTCCCAGTCAGCATAAGCTCTCGCTGCTTAAAAATGAGCATCAAACTCAGGGAAGTCAAAGGAAGATGCTCACACGCCAGTCAGTGTCTTCCCAAAAGTGACATTCCATCCTTTGCTCCCCTCATGCGAGCGTTTGGCTCACAGGTTGATAAAACACGCTATCAGGTAACACAAACCCACGCTATTCCAAGTGAGAGGAGCATGTGGAGACACGAGAGAGACTGGAACGGGGTAAAAAAACCTGCTTGGGAAAAGACCCGGCACCAGGAAGGACCTGGTCCAGTCCAACCCTTTGCCTTGCCTGGCCATTGCCTCCTCCAAATCAGCAGGGCTCTGCAGGAGTTGGGCTCAACACAGGAGAATTCCCAGAGGAATCGCAGTGCTGGAAAATCAGCTTGGTGCAATGTTCACTTCATACAACCCAGCGTACCTAAAGAAAGCAGACTCCCAACAAGACCAGTTGGCCTGGCAAGCAGAGATGGGCTAACTCATCCTGTCAGTATGTGCTCAATGAAATACCTCCGTGACGGATGGATGGGGTTTGGAAAAAGGGCACTTGCTCCAAGGCCCGGGACCGCAGCCAGTAGATGGCATTCATATGCTGTCGTATGCATAGGTATGCTCTCATATGCGATCAGGCTTAAACTGCCTTGGAAAACACAAGAAGAGCATTTCTCATATAAAAATGAAGGTAAAAGGCAGATATTCATCTTAACTAGAGATGACCCTGTGGACTTTGCTAATTAATTTTGGAGCCATCAAGCGTTGCAGACTTCCTGACATTTCTTTCTGTCCCCATGCATCTTCTGTATGCTTCTAATATAGAAATATATAACATATATAAAGAAATATAAAGCATCCCTAAGTATCTTGTGTATCCTGGACCACAGGGATGCCCAAACTGTGAGATGTGAGCGAGGGGTACCCCACCATCCCCCTGAGCTCTGATCCAGAATCTACTAGGCTGACCACACACGTGGCTAGGAGCAGTCAGTGCGTGGCTAGCACTGATGTGTGCTGCTTTCTTTGCAGTGGCATCCACTGGATTGAGGAAATACTGTCCTCAGCACCTCATCCTGCACAAGCCACTCATCCTATGAGAACAGCAATGTCCCCATGGAGCTACGCCACTTGTATTTGTAAGGGCTAGACACCAGCCGTCACCCTGCTGAGGTACCAAAGGTCCCCATTCCCAACACCTGGGACACATGAGCACCCAGCAGGGGCACGCGGCTACAGGAGAAGGATGGAATGGACGATGGGAGAGGCGTGGTGTGTCCTAGGTGGGCAGCGTGCCGGAGCAGGGCCTTGTGCAGCCGTGACTTTACCTGCAGCACAGCACATCAGCCCTTCTCCAGAGCCCACAGACCTCAGCTGGTGCCACTGGAGAGCCCCAGCACCGCGGCGAGGCTGCATGGGAGGGCTGCATGAGAGCCAGGACCAAGCCAGGACTCCTTGTTCTTACCGTAACAGAAAGAGAGGTGCAATAGGTAGAGACTCCAGCTTCCACCACACAGCAGTCCTTCATCTCCCCACCATGCCCTGGTGTCCAGATCACCGCAGCCCCTCTGCCTGCTGAACAGCCCTGAAAAACATCACACACATCGTTAGTGGATGGCAACAGGAAAATCCCTGCTGGGCAGCAGGCACAGGCAGACCTCACAGTCCCGCTCCATCAGCTGATATAATAAAAGAGATGTCCTCTCTCAGACCATTTCTGCTAAGAAAATGACAAACCCTTACACTTCCTTCACTGGGGGGTCACTACTAAAACCAGACCAAACTTCATCTTTGTACAGCACTGAGCACGTTGGCTGCACGATGCAAACATGGCGGGGGGGTGGGGTGGGGTGGATTTTTGACGGTAGACTTCAACAAACTAACCCTGTCTCTTCCAGCAGCTGGGTTGCGGCTTTGGCCCAAGCCAGAGGGAAGGGGGTTTTGCTGAAGCCCAGGCAGAAGAAGGCAGAGATGTGAGCCCAAAGTCTGGAGCAGGTTAAAATCACTGCTCCTTCATTCACTTTTAGATTTGCAAAGGAACCAGCCAAGGTCTCAGGCTCTAATGCAGTTACAGGCATCCTGGAAGCAAGGAACAGGAGTTGATCCCCCAGCACAAGGAGGACCATGACCGTCTGTCAGGTCTGCCTGTACAGCCCCTGGCACCAGAAGCGAGACCAGTGCCTGAGGTTTAAGGTACAAATCAGCTTTGCACACCCCTCCCCACCTCCCACGCCTCCTCCAGGACCAGATCCCGCTGGATGATGGGCATCCCTTGCTCCCACTGAACGCAGCAAGGAGACGGTGTGCTCAGCCCCCGGCAGCATCACTCATCCGGAGGAAGAGTTTAGGGAGATATTTGGTACCTCGCAGCCAATTGGAGCAGAGGTGGCTCTGAAAGGGGGGTGCTTTCAGCTCCTCTCTCCACCCATCCTCCATAACACCCCCCTCCCTGTCACCACCGTCATCCTCCTCACACACAAAAGCAGTGCAATTAGCTGACTTAAGAGAGCCGAGGCTTAGCCAGCTGCAAGCGGAAAATAATAATAAAATACCTTGGAGGGGAGGGAGGCAGCAGAGGAAGCAGCAGCCATGGAAGAATACAAATAACTGCCCTCAATTCCCACCCCCTCGCCCCCAACGACATCCAAATCGGAGAGCAACGACTGCGGGGCGAAGGGCCGACCTAGATGCATCCCCACACTCCTCCGCTGAGAAAGCCGCACACATCTGCATCCCGATCCAGGCGCTGGACCTCCTGAGCAGCCCGTCTCCCTCAGGAGGAATGCCTAGCTGGGATACAGGCAGGATCTTCTTTGTTCCTCGTTAGCCGCAAGCGTCGGTGAGTACAGCATCATCTGGGCTTCCATACTGCTGGGCAATGTTTGATATTGAGAACTATCAGGCTCCAGCCTGGGATCTGCTTCAGTGTCTTCCCTTTCTCTTCCTCCCTCCATGATGCTTCAGGGTTAGCAGAAAGCAGCTGACAGCGCTGGGGAGGAGGGAGGGAAGGTGGGGTCTCTCTGAGCCCCAGGGTAGCTCCTCTGCCTGCGAAAAAAAAAAAATGGAGACATGTGTGGCCGTGTCATGGGCATCGCATGCAGCCAGGCATGGGGGCGAGGACGGAATGCATGATGTGTGTGCTGGGAGGAAAGGCTGAGAGACACGGGGCAGGGAGAGCCCTGCAACGCTCCCAGCCAGCAATTTGCTCTGATTCCTATCTCTGCCAGCGCCTGTAATAAAGACGGATGCTGGATTTACTCAGGCCTCTACGTAGCTTCATTCCTTTAAAGCAGATACACACAGACAGATTTATCTCCCTCCAGATCATCACCAGCGACACCCTCTGCAAATACAACCCTCCAACGGCAGCAGAAAAAGCCCTGGCTCTCTAGAAGACCCTTATAGCAATGGGTCAGACTCCACTAGATGCCGATTTCCCTGACATCAGGGGACAGCCAGAGAAGCCCCATCCACTTGGGAAATCACCCTAGGTCCCTTATCCCCCCCAAAATGTTACTATCCAACCAGAGGCTGGGTACATTTACAGCGTAAAGGCTGAGCTCAGGAAGAACATTTAAAACCGTGCTGGATGGGTTAATGCACGTGCCCAACATAGGAGCTGGTTTCACTAGAACACGTTCTATATAAGATAAAGCCTGACCTTGTCCCCTCCGGGCTCGGGTGCTACTAAGCTCAGGTGCAGCAGCACCCAGCTGAGAGCAGCGTATCTGCTCTCTCCGACCAGAGCTGGTCCTGCAAGGACCAGTCCTGTGCCCTCAGCCAGACTTTGTCAGGAGCTGCAGGTGCAGTCCCTGGGAAATAGGTACAAAAGTCTGGTTGCTGCGGGCTGGCAGCGTGGGAACCTTCTAGAGAAGGCAAAAAATATATATGGTCCTAAGGGCCCCTTGCGCTGCTGGGGTGTTAGTATGAGTGAAAACAAGGCTCGCTGGATTTGAACTTCTCCTGTTCATACCAGTGCAGGAGAAAGCCCAGACTGGGAACAGCAGACCCACCTCACCTCCCTTTGAGCTGCTCCAATTTTTTGGCATCTGCTTTGGTTTACCTGGGAGCAAGGCAGAGACGTGAATTCTTCAGGGGTGTGGAAGGACATTCAACACCCCTGCGAAGGCCTCCTCACCCTCTTCCGTTTCTCCCCGGGTGCGGGGACGAGCGTGGGGATGGAGCACAGACCAGGCAGCAGCAGTCAGGAATTTCTCTGCAAAAAGCCATTAACTTCTGTCCAGGCCAGCAAAATGGAAACCAGTGCTACTGCCAAACCAACCTGAAACCAGCCTGGGGGGAGCTCTTTCTTCTCTTCCCTTTCAGCCACATTTCATTTCCCTCAGCAGAGGGGCTTGTTAATGTCGAGATTAGAATTGGAAGAGAAGTAGCAAGGGGAAAATGGGTGGGCATCAGCCCAGACAGTGCTGACCCTCAGGGAGAAGGACTAAGGCCACAACGGAGCAGTTATACCTGTTGCTTTGATCCAGGGCCAACCTCACCTCCTCTTTCTTCTCCAAAGCGTGTCAAGTAGCCACAAACCCCCATGTCCTTGCCTTGTTCCTTTTGCAAAAGAAGCAGCTATCGCGCTGCTTCCCTGTAGAGCATGGTATCAGCATACCCGCCCTGAACGATTCCGATTAAATGCTCCCCCGTCGTGATGCTCGATGCCAACCTCTCCGCCTTCCTCCTTCCAGCCTGCACCCTTCCTCGAGGGAACCGCTGTGCAGCCAGACCCTCTCTGAGCAAGATGGGAACCACAGAAGCCACTTTGCGGATGGAGAATGTGGATGTGAAGGAGGAGTGGCAAGATGAGGACTTCCCCAGGTTTGTTCCCTGTAAAAAAAGCCAGGGAAAACTTTATTTCTTCCTGTAAGAAACCAGCAGGGCATGGAGCATGCAGGTCCCTCCCACCAGCCCTGGAGGCAACAGAAGTCTTAACTCCAACAGGGCAATTCCAGCCAGAGGACAGAGCTTTTGTAGCAAGGCTGCTCTGCTTAAAAATTTTTGGGAGGCTTCTGGCACCCCTCTTGTGAGCATGCCAAGGAGAGGGTAAGGAGCCGGGTGTGGAGGACAGGGAGGTTCACATGTATGGATGCAGGCATATAGGGCTGGATAGATGCATACAGGGAGGGAGGAATGGACTTCAGCCAGCCCCTGAATCAAGCAGTGTCTCCCCAAACAGAGCAATGCTGCTTTGCCAGGAATTTGCCACACAGGAAGCAGAGTTATTGGGATGCAGTGACCGCTGGCACTGATGTGCAGAATCTGAATGGTTGCAAAACCTTGTTAGAAATGACGTGTGGGTGACAGAGGGTGCCAAAGTGGCAGCTTTCACCTTCACAGGCACTTCATTAACTGTACGGAATGCTGAAAAAAAAAAAATCCCTGTGAGCTCAGCGTGCGCTGAACTCCCTGCAGCCACGCGAAGAAAGGGTGCACCCACCCTCACCCCCGCCCCAGCCTTGCCCCACACATCCAGCACTACAGCCCACGGCCCAGCACCAGCTCGCTGGGGTGCACAGAGCGTGGCCAGCACCAAGCCCTGCTGCAGCTGGGGTCCGGGCTGCTGAGGGGGTTTTCAGGGCTGTCTCACCCTGCGCCAGCTGCAGCGGAATTCGCCCCGGCAGCCCACAGAGCCCCTGTATTCGCAGACAGTGGCGCAGTGTGCCGTGCGGGTGGGCATGCACAGCCCCTGTGGGGCTAGAAAGGGTCTCCTGTTTCCCTCGGCACCGGCGGATGAGCTTAGCTCTGTTTATCACGGGGCCAGCTGCATCGCTAATCTAAGCACCTCTGTCTGCCAGCCCAGCACCCAGCTCCCAGGACATGGCTTTTTCTTCCCCCCGCCCCCGCGGGGGGCTCAGCCAAGCCCTCGGGATTCTAGGATGGATTTTTCTTTCCTCTGAGAGCAGAGCTGGGCAGAGGTTTGGGCTGATGGACTTCTGCCAACCTAAGGCTCCCCCAGAGTGCCGTGATGACAAGCTTTTAACTGAGTAGAAAGGAAGGCGAGGTACAGAGAGCAAGGCAAGGTACGGAGAGCAAAGGCATTGACCCGAGGCTCCCTAGAAAATCTAGGGACAAAGCTGTTCTAGCACCCAGACACCTATGCACTAACCCACACCATGATGGTGGAGCAGGAGCTGCCAGGCTCCGTTTCACACTTGCCACGCACGCAGCAAACTTACCCAGCTGCAGTCCAGCCTTCAAGGGGCATTTGAAGAAATGCAGAGAGCCCTCAGCACCACCTAACACGGGCACCATCACTCCTGCCTGGCAAATGAAGCACAGGGAGAGGCAAAGGGATGTGACCAAGGCAAGCTCCCCAGCCTGCCGATAGACTGCTGCAGAGGGATGAAATCAGGACTGATGCAAGTGAAATAGAGCCCAAACAGCCACTAGGCAAATGAGCAGATGCTAACTGTGTTTAACTGGCATTAAAAATAAATAAATAATCATTTTCAAGGCATTTTCCCCTAGAAGCATTAAAATAATAGGGCAGAAGCTGCTGCATGTGGGACAGTAGCTCTCTAGCAGATGATTTGCTGCATAGCTATTTTTGCTTAGCTGTGATTAACCAACATTGCTACCAAAAAAAAAAAAAAAATCACATATCCTAGGCAAAGATCTGGGCTGGGGGAACTGAATTCAGCTGCTCATTAAGGACACAGGGCGACATTCCCATCCCTCCTGGAGCAGCTGATCTGCAGAACAAGCTCCTACCTCGCAGGCTGCAGAGGTGCAAAGCCAAGGCACTGAGCAAGCAGTGAGGAAGCGGAGAGGAAAGGGTCCCCCCTCCTGCTGCTCCCTGAAGGTTTAGCCTCCTGCCGACAGTCTGTCTCAGCTGTTTGTGCAAGTGCTGTCCTGCAATGATGCTGTAGCGGTGCCGCGGGGCGGATGCAGGAGCATGCTCACTCCATCACGCATCCATCGGATCACCCTCGGTGAAGGCTCGGGCTGGTTGGGGCCCCAGAGAAGGTGCTTATAGAGGGAAATTGGGCAGCCTGCTATCTGCAGAAAGCAAAATGGTGGCACCCGACCCTTAGAAAACCTGCTTCATTCAGAAAATTTGGCATCTGGGGCTAGCTGCGTTTGGGAAGGACAATTTACACGAGAGACTGGGAGGTAGTGATTCGAGCATCCTTTGGGAAGGTAAGCAAGCCCTTTTCTTCACCTCTGACTTCTGAATTCTTTTCTTAAATGACTCCTAGCATCAGAGTGCCCGACTGCAGCGCGTCCTCGGGTACAGCTGGGCCTTCCCCACCCCTCCTTCTGATGCTGTATCACCAAGTTGTGCCAGGCGCCAGCTCACAGGCAGATAAACAACCAGCCAGGCCCCGCTGAAGACAAAAGCAAAAGGGAGGAGGAGAGGCTGGAGGGGGCAGAGGGATCTTTCTGACTGCTCAGGAATACCGTGGCAGCCCACGGGGTCCGGGTGCTGCACAAGCGAGCAAGGAGCAAGAGCCTTTGATCAGGTCTCCAACTCTCATAAATATACAACAACCAGCTCGGAGAGGATTATCCCTTAATCTAAATATTTATAGGCTTTAATTTGGCTGGTGGCTCTGGTGTCATGGCAGCAGGAAGAGGAGCCTTTGTAGGGCAGAGCCAGGCTGTATCCTCCTGCGGACTCGGAGGCACCAGTCCCCACCATCTCCCTCCCTGCCATCATGGGACTGTAAGCTGCTGGACACCAGCCCCATGCACGGTCCCATCCCCACTCTTACAGCACTGCCTTACAACCGGTGGGGTTTCCCCCCACATTTCACCCCAGAGCTGTCCCAGCACCCAGGATTTTACACCTGGAGGCCTGAGCTCTTCCCCCTGTTGAGGGGGAGCTTCCAGCAAGGGGCAGGTGAAACAAGAATGGCTCAGAAGGTCCCTTTTAAACAGCCCGTTGATATCAAGAACTTATCATGAGGTTGGTGGGCTGCTGCACAAGATGTTTCAAAAACCCAGCTAATGCCAGGGGACAGGCACAAGTCCCAGCTCAAATTAAGGGGGAAAAAAATGTTCAGAAAGCGTCCAGCTCAGGGTGGGCAGAGTGCTGCTCAGCCACCAGCTAGGGTGCCTCGCCGCAGTACTGGGGGCCAGATTCTGACTTCACCTCCCCCAGTACGGGTCAGGAGCAACTCCAGCAACTTCCAAAGGGCGACAGCCATGTAATAAGATTTGGCATTAGCATCTGCACAGGAAAGCCAGCTTTTAAATCAATTGATGCTTCTAGCCTCCGTCAGGAGGCATGGTGATTTATACCAAGAGGGTGCAGGAGCCAAGCATGAGAAGGTGCAAATCTTGACCAAGGAAGGGAACGTAGGTCAGCCTTCGGCTCCAAAATATGGGTTTGAGTGCTGGAGCTTGGGCCTTAGCTCAGAATGAGCCTGCTTCCAGGTTTGGGTATCACTGTCAGCTTCTGTCAAATGGGGGCTGAGGTGAGGAGGGGGTGACAACGCTGGGATCACACCTCAGGTTTGATCCTCGCCTTGAACGCTGCCTGCCCCAGAGCAAGGTCACTATCGAGCGAGGCAGCTGCCTCCTGGCCAGAGGTGGTGGTGGCAGTTGCTTTGGACAAAGTTCTGCTCTGCTGCAGCCAGGGCTTGTGGTAGAAGGCAACGGCAGATGTTCCCTGGTACCCTTGATAAAGAGCCCTAGAGCTTGGCACTGCCTCTCAAACTTCTGACAGAGATAAAAATGGGGATAAAATGGAGAGGAGGAGGACGTTACCAGGCTCTTCTGGGGATGCAGTTTGTTCCCCTGTCCCTGGCTGGAGTTTTCCAGCTTCTTGACCAAATGAGAGATGTATTGGGGGGGGAAGGTGTAAATGCAGGCACAGTTTGGAGGTGACCAGGGATTGCACAGTGCTCCAGTAAGAAAGCACGGCTGCTGGGCTGCTCTTGGGCAAGTCCCCTGAGGGTATCCCTCAGGCTGAGCTCACAGGCAAAAGGGAAAGGGCAGAGCACACCCAGGGCTGCATGGTTTTCCCTGATGTCCCCAGTTCTCTCCACTGTCCACCATGGAGTGACTTTCTCCTAAACATCGCCTGTTATCTCCTGTCTTTTTACCTCTGTATCTTGGCTTGCCTGCAGACCTCTCCCAGAGGAGACGGGGATGGAGTCACTGAGCAGCCCTACAGAAGATGAGAATACATCCTGTAAGTACCAGCCTGCCTTATCAGGAGTGCAAAGGAAAAAAGCCTATGGGAAGGGCAGCTTGCAGTTAGGGTGAAAGCCAGTTCTCTTGGAGTAGCCGCAAAAATTCCCATGTGGGAAAGGAAACCAGCAGAGATTTGAATTTGCTAATCTTTCCCAAGCAGCTGGGGGAGGAATAGGTATCTCAGAAGTGTGGGCACTTTTACCCAGCCATACCTGCAGTACCTCCCAGCTATGATCCATCACCCTTAGCTTCCAAGCCCATAGCCCAAAAGGTGCATAATGAAAGCCCCATGTCTTGCACTAAGGATACGGGATGAGGACAACCTGTCAGTTATTTTCCTTTTAACTCCAGCTCCCCCAAATACTTTAAACTTTAACGGGGCGCATCGTAAGCGGAAGACACTTGTTGCACCTGAAATCAACATTTCCCTGGACCAGAGTGAAGGTTCCATTCTCTCCGATGACTTCCTGGACACACCGGATGACCTGGACATTAATGTGGACGATATTGAAACTCCTGATGAGACAGATTCCCTCGAATTCCTGGGAAACGGGAACGAACTGGAATGGGAAGGTAAAAAAACCTGTTTGGTGTGAATGTTTGCAGGGCTTGGGGCTTTTTTTTAGCCTCATTTTAACCGCTTTTGACAGCACTCACCATCAGCAGGACCACACAACATCTGCCCCACCAGGACCCCAGCTGTAGCCCAGGAGTCTCGGTGCTTCCACTGCGTGGGCAGTAGTAGTTCAGGGACTCACAAACACCAGTCTAGCCATAATTTGGGATAAGGCATAAGGCCACAGACACACACACCTTTCCAGCTGCAGCTGAGCCACCACCCCAGCGGAAGGTGCTGCCTGCTAGGCTCTGCTGTCACGTGGATGTTCAAACATCTTGAATAACGTGGGCTTTGCTAACCTGGCTGATTTTGACTGAATCGGGCTAAGGAGGACTCACGCAAGCAGCTCTGCTAGCAGATCAGAAGACAACCAGCACAGGCAGTGCCCTCTTCAGCCAGTATAGATGGATCTGAAGGAAGATCCAGCAAAAAGCCTGGTGCCCGACATTTGGCAGCATGAGATGTTAAGCCCATTTTTAGCACAGTTCGGCAATGATTATTAAGAATCGCAAACTTGCACAGATCAAAGCTGCAGATGAAACAGATGATCCTCAGTCTGCAGTTGTTATTGCTTCTTATTGCACGCCAAAGCTCTTGCAGAGCCTCTTTGTACCTTATATTAAAGGCAGAAATGTTTGTCCCTTTTCCAGATGACACTCCCGTAGCCACAGCCAAGAACATGCCTGGGGACAGTGCAGACCTGTTTGGGGATGGTGGGACAGAAGATGGGAGCGCTACTAACGGGCGGCTCTGGAGGACTGTCATCATTGGAGAGCAGGAGCACCGCATCGACCTCCAGATGATCAAACCCTACATGAGAGTGGTGACGCACGGAGGTGAGGGAGAGGGCGGCCTAATCCTGGCTCGGTGGATTTCTTCCAGTCCATCTTTGTCAAGCTGGAGGGGACGCCATGACTGATTGTTTTGACTGTCTTTAAGGAAAAAAATTGCTATTCGTTTCATACCACTACGTGGCAGATAAGCACAAAAGCTCCCAGCTCACACTAAAAAAAAACGCAAAGCCACTGTAGCAATGTTTCAATAAACAAAAATAGGGATAACGCTGGCTCTGAGCAAGACTGAATATACCCCGATCCTCAGCCCCGGGTGCAGGCAGCATCGCCAGCGATGAAGGGACCGCAGGTGCTTAACCCTGCTGTAGCTCTGTGCCTGAGCGGTCTCGGGAGGCACAGCTAAAGGCCAATACATCCAAAGCCAGTGACCATTTCCAAAATCTGAGCAAAGCCAAGCAATGACCCAGGGTGAAGCTCTCAGCTCTGTGCTTTGACACACACAAATTCCTTCCCTGAACCCCCCCCACATGTTCTAGCCAAAACCAGAAGCAAAATCTAATTGTGAAAGAGGTCCCCAAGAGGGACAAACACTTACCGAGAGCTGATTAGAGGCACAAAAACCATCCCGGACCCAAATTTGGCAATACATCTTTGCTGCTATTTTTCCTTCAACTCTTGCATCTCCCCCTGGAAAGAGTCATTGATGCTGCCTGTGTCTTTCTTTCCCAGGATACTACGGAGAAGGTCTCAATGCCATCATTGTCTTCGCTGCCTGCTATCTCCCGGACAGTAACCTGGCCGATTACCACTACATCATGGAGAATCTCTTCCTGTAAGTGGCTGGCCAAGGTCTATGGGGGAGAGGAGGGCAGGGAAGGTAACTCGGGCTCTGGGAAACATTTTCCATGTATTCATTGCATCAGGAATCACAGCTGGAAGTAGTTTGAATCCAGGCCAAATGTACCCAGTGTGCAGCTGCAGACTGGAACGAGCATCACTGGGTAAGACACTGTCTGCAGCATTTGCATCCAAGTCCAGTAAGTCAAAGCATTCAAACATTCAGTGTTAATTATGCCAGTGATGGACTCACAACCAGGCTAGAGCATACGCATACAGCCCTGAACAGCTGGTAGATACTACTGCTAGGCAGAACAGTGCAGGGATGTCCATCAGTGTATGCACTATGCTAACACGCACAGTGATCCCTGAGGAATACCCCTAGGCATCCTGCAGAGGTGCCAGGAGAACCTGAAACCTATTCCAAGGTCTACAAAGAAAAGGTCTGGAGGCCTTTTGGAATGACACACAGGCACTTGAAGAAACCTCAAGGAACCTGTTTCTGAGTCTCATGTCCCCATTGCTTTTAATCACCACCCAACAGATACGTGATCAGCAGTTTGGAGCTGCTGGTGGCTGAGGACTATATGATTGTGTACCTTAATGGAGCAACACCCCGGAGGAGGATGCCAGGCCTCGGCTGGCTGAAGAAATGCTATCAGATGATAGACAGAAGGTGAGAAGGCTGTTGGTGTTGCATCTTCATTCTTCCCGGCCCTCTTCCCACAGCTCTTCTAGCGCTTCCCCGCCATCTTCCCGGCCACACTTGCCTCCTCACATGCTGTAATTCCCTCCTCTGTCACAGCTTTCTGACTTACTCCAGGCTCCCTTCATCACCTCTTCTCCCCCCTTCCCTCACAAGCACCTTCACAAAGATCAGGCTAATACAGCACCCAAGCCTGCCGAGTCTGAGCTTAAATAGGATTCCTAAGGTCATGGCTTTTGTCTGGAGATACGCAGCTGAGGCTGGTGAGCATCATAACACTTATTAGTGCCCTGACACATTACAGGTGAGTTTAAGAAAAGGTACTTTGAATCTGACTTTCTGTCCCATGGCTCTTCCACAGGCTGCGTAAAAACCTCAAAGCACTGATAATCGTCCATCCTTCGTGGTTCATCCGGACGGTGCTGGCTATATCGAGACCCTTCATCAGGTAAATAGAACATGTTCCCAAACTCGGCTGGTTTGGGAATGGAAGGTTAATCTCATTAATTAGATCTTAATCTCACCTTTAACTAGTAGTGACCAAGGTCAGGCTGTTCATCATTTGTCCTGTATCTCTTTGATACTTCCAAGCACGACTCTAGAGGTGGTTTTAGGAGACACTGTGGTGGTCCAGATCCAGATCAAAGTTTGTCCCAACGGGTAGGGCATAAAGATTTACTGGGAAGTGTGGGAATGGTGGTCCTTTTTCCCTCCTACAGCTATGGAGAGAAGAGGGTCAAAGCAAGGTGAGGTACAGTAACGTACTCACCACAATTTTTAGTCATCTGCATGTTAGCACTGGGGGGAGGAGATGGGTACGCTGAGGCTACACAGGATACAGAGATGCAAAACACCCCGTTTCCACCAGGAAAATTCTGATTTCCTATAGAGAGAGCATCGGAATGAGAAGTTTATCAATAAGATCCAGTACGTTCACAGCCTGGAGGAACTGGAGCAACTTATCCCAATGGAGCACGTACAGATTCCAGACTGCGTCTTGCAGTGAGTATCAGAGCGACCCTGGGGCAGACATAGCTCTGAGGATGTGCAGGACAGAAACCCTGTGTAGCAGGATATTTTGTTGGGTCAAAATCCCCATACTGGAAACGCAGAGCCTGGTGCAAGGCTTATCTTACTGGTACACTGGTGCCAAGCAAGAGCCTGCAGACTGTGCTAGTTTGCAGCTTCTGTCATCTTCAGAGCAAACACTGTATTTTACTAGAAGTGAACAGGGGGACATTTTAAGAATGTTTCCTGTTTGTTGCAGATTTGAAGAAGAGAGGATCAAGGCCAGAAAAGAAAGGTAAAATTAATTTGGGGGGATGTTGTGCTTTCTCTCCTCATTATTTGTGTTATAACCAGGCAATTCTGTTTTCCTCCTGCCCTGATAGCCCACACAGCCTACACTTATTTTCTACCGATGTTCTCAAAATAAGCAAAAGCTGCAGGAGGGAGGAGAAGCTTGATTAAAAGGCTATTTATCCATAGAACTGCACATCCTGAGCATGCACCAGATGTGCTAGCAAAGGTCTTCAGAAATGGCTCTATGTATAAAAATGGCACACTTTCCCCATATGACCATGCAAACTGACCTTAAAATGAGAGCTAGTGCTTATTTTTAAAGCCACTTCGTTCTGCTGGAGTGGCATAAAGAGGGCCGTTGGTTTACAGTTTGGTTTGTTTCATTTTCTAGACCCGGTCCATCACTGGTGATTTAGGTTAGAAGTGCTGGCCTTAAACTGTGATAACGGTCAGCTCTGGTAAAAGCAAAAGGCAATCACGGAGAGAGGAAAGACTGGCTGGGTCAGCGCAAGAGCGATGTGCTATAGTACCACCTCCTCGTGCTGGTGAAGGGAATGGGAGATGCCACTTTGGGAGGATTCGGTTCATTAGCTGCTGAACAGCGAGTCGTCCAGCCCGAGTTAGACAGCTACCTCCCTCTAGGGCCAACAGAGGCACCCCGAGAGCATCAGGATTATCAAGGCTGTGTATCACGGGGACAAGAAGCTAAAAGTAATTTCTGATCAGACCTGTAAGCCCCAGGCCCAGCTATCTCCCTAGAAAGGCCTTTGATACTCCACCCTCTCACACTGCTCGCCTCTCAAAAGTGATTTGCATTTACAGGGCAGAAGAGAAGCAAGACATGGCTGAGAAGGAAAGGTAACTACTCTTTTTTAGTTATCTTTCACTTACAAAATAGCTTGAACAGTCTTTGGTGAGGAGAATGGCCCTGTTGCGTGGTAGCAGCCCCTGGGGAGCCAGGCTCTGCGCTCTCAGATGTTTGGACCCAACAGGACATTTCTCAAGTGTCTGGGAACTGATAAAGCCTCTCCTCTCCCTAAGAGCTCCCTATGCCAGTGCTTTTGTGATGTTATTGACCTTCACCTATGCGAATGGATTCCTGACGCTGCTTTTTACCGCTGTAAAGCTAGCGAACCCATTCGGTCATGGACCGGTGCCAGCACCGGGGAACCTTCCCCTGACATTCAGATGTAGCATTTGCATGACGGGGCGATGCAGAGGGCCAAATACTGCTGTCAGGCACATCTTGGGTGTGCGTAAAGGAAGACATGAGGCTGTAACATTAGATGGGAAGGAAAATTCTAGGGAGGTTTGGAAGACAGTGTCAAAATCCTACACCAGGATAATTTGGCCTGGTTTTGGCTTGCTTCAGAGTGATATAGCCTCTCTTTTTTTATGCTATCTAACCAGCTCCCGAGGGGGAACAGTGCATATTTCTGCTATTCTTTTCCCAGAGAAAAAGGAGCTTTGATCAAAATTGCCAAGGTCCATTGGATGAGTCTAAATTGTTCTGAGAAACAAATGGGACCTCAGGGCCAAGAGAGAGGGCGATTAGTTTGTGGTGGAGATTCACTTATTGTTTTTCTGGTTCTCTTCCAAGCAGGCCCGTGCCCCCAGCAGAGGATCAAGAA